ACGTGTCAACAAGATTGAATAAAAAACAGAAAAAATCAGTGAGAAACTCATGTTTATGCGAGAAAAGCGGGCCCTCACAGCGACACACACTCAAAAAAAAAGGCCCTTGAAAACAGAACCCGAAGCTCCTGCCTGGAAGGTGGCCTAAACCCTAAACCCTAAAGCCAGGCTTGGCCGAGTGTGAGTGTGAAAGAAAGCCCTAAGGCCTAAAGCCTAAACCCTAAACCCTAAACCCTTAAACCCCTAAACCCTAAACCCTTAAACCCTAAACCCTAAACCCAGGCCTAAAGCCCAAACCCCCTGTCCGGAAGGTGGCCTGGGAGCATTTAGGTCTCTCCCTGGGCTCCTTGGGAGCTCGGGCGGTTCTGGGCGGGATTGCCGTGATCGCGAGTCCCCTGGCTCTCTTGAGCTTTCTTTGGGGGCTTAGGGTTAACTTAGGGTTAACCTAGGGTGCAGGGTTTAGGGTAGGATTTGTGTGTGGATGTTGGGCGAGGTTTCATTGCCATCGCGGCTGTGGTCTTCTTGCCCTTGGCGACGTATTCCATCAACTACGTCGACCAGGCACTCTGCACTCTAGGAGCAAACCCAGACAGGCACGCCAGGGGCCGTGGAACGTGGTACCACGGTACCACACGCAATCCCAAGTTCCGACTGTCAGAAGCCACCTTGGGCCTTGTCAAGGTTGTGCGGGGTTCGGAGTAGTGTTGTATGCAGATTTGAAGCCCAGCTTTGCCGGCGGGTAACCGTAAGCTACAGTGAGGTAAGGATACGCAAAACACCGTTCTGGTATGGTAGCCTCCCTGTCACCTTTGTGAGAAATCCTTCGAGGGGAGTGAGGTTTTGCAACAGTAGTTGGGCTCATACGCTCCAGCTTGGGCTAGCCTGTTTACAAGCCCAGCAGGTGGGGCGGCAGGAATTCTGTTGCACACTCCAAACCTGCGCTCCCTGAAATAGTGAGAAGATGGCCTTTCAAGTGCAGTCCTGAGGCCGGCCTGCCGAAACGGTGCTTGAAGAGCCACTCCTCCCTCCAACCGTGCGTTGCCCAGACAAAGGAATATACCATGAGCCCTCGGCAATGCAGGATTTGGCCGTTAATTGAATCTCATCAGAATCAGAAACTGGTGCCCTGAAGCATAAATCCGTCTCCCTGAGCTTTGAGCCCTGCATACAGAACTCTCCGATGCCCTTGCGAAAGGCTGGCAGCACCCCGACCGGCGTGATGATGTGCCACAGCAGAAGAGATGGGCTTGAGCGTGTAGTGTTCCGGGGCCTGGGGTTTCTGCAGGTTTCGAGTAACTTCTGCGGCAGGGTTGGGACTGGGAGAGTCGATGCGGGATGTGAGTAGAACCATCCTGGGCCGAAGATGAAGGTTTCTGGAGGAGGGTGGCCTGTGCTGCTGTTGTCACTAGTACTGATTTGTCTTGAGCCAGTGCCTGTCAAATCGAGCACCTCCGACAGCATTTCCTTGGGGGATCTGTTATAGCATTTATATGGGTCAGCGATGCAAACATGGTACTGAATCATATTGGATGCCTGAGTGTCGGACTCAAAATCCACATGTTTCATGTTTGTTCCAAACGGCCTCGTCAGCGTTTAGATGTGGTCTGAACTTGGTTGTAAGAAGCTTTGATCGCGGTATGAGGTGGCTTCATGCTTTTGAAGCGGTTACAGGAGTGAAGTGACTTCACTTTTTAATATACCCTATCCCCAGCCCATCCGCAAAATTCAATTTTCAAGGCACCGATATTAGCACGCATCATGTCCGCGACGATCCCATGGATAATTAATAGTTCCCGGTCCTTGAGAATCCGAGTAGAGCTTTCTCAGGCTTGTTTAGGAAAGTAGAGGCCTTGATAGTAGGCGGAAAAGTGGCTAAAGTTGAGGGTTGAGGCCCGAAAAGCTGGCGTCCAGCACGTCTTTCACCGCCAACTACACTGCCACACTTACGAGTCACCTGAAGCTCTAAACTCAAAACCTTGAGCCCTGTAATAAGCCTGAAACTCCTTGCACACCCCCAAAATCGAATCCAAACCCCCAGGCCCTGTCCGGTGTGAGCACCGAAACGCTCGAGTTGTGAGAGTGTAAACCCACGAATTAGTGCATGTCAAAGCCTCCGGCAGGCAGTTGAGAGCATCCAGCGAGAAACCCTAAACACAAAAATCCTTGCTTCGGATCGTGAGGTCGGTGATGGGCATTCTGGTGATGACGGCCCCTGTGCAGAAAGCTTTTGGAGTTCAGTGCTTTATATTGGAAACTCTCCGATCTCATGGCGTGTGGGTTTAGGGGTGTGGGGTTTGGGGGTGTGGGGGTTTGGGCTTGAGTTCAGGGCGGATCAGGGTGCATGAAGGTTGTGTTGCCGCTTAAATGTCATAGGCTCCTTGGCTTTTCAGTGGCACAAGGCTTGGCTTTCGACTCTGCGCCTGGCTTCGGCTCATCTGACCCGACTTTAAACAGGTTTGGGCGAAGCAGAGGCGAAACGATATAGGAGCCTCGATACCGAAACCCACAAAAAACCCTACTAGTACTCACAAAGACCAAAACTGGAAGCATTGTCTCCCTCGTCTGCTTGCGACAATACAAGACACCATGCGGGCAACTCGGGGCAGCCCCCTTCCGATTTTCCATTCCCAATGCAGAAGCCCGGAAAACATATATATATATATATATATACATACATATATATATATACATATATCTATTGAGGATTATTGATGGCCCGATATTCAGTCGGTCCTGTCTCAGGAGCAGGGCATATTCACGTCACAATTTTCAGGCCCGTAGCGGAGCTCATGTGTTTATGACTCTTATGACTCCGTGACACAGAGCCTCTTGATTAGGGATGTTCTCAACTACGGTCGCCTTCTGAGTCGATTTGCTGCCGAGAAGGAGCCGTGAGCGTCAAAGCCTCATCGAACCCTACAAGACGCTCGTAAGAACTATAGATCAGACCAGATGACTTGTTGGACTCATTGCTGGTGGCCAGGCCGCAGAACCCCTCAAGTGGAGCTCCCTATCTAAAGCAGCAAGTGGAGCTGTGGAGCCATGAGGTGAATTGGATGATCGGTTTGCTGCATATCTTCGCCTCGGCCCGAGCTGAGGCATCTCAGGTACAGCAAGTTGGGCTTCCTCTGAGAAACACCGTTTTGCTCCGAATAGTTGTATTCCAGAAGAGCATTGAAACGAGCCACGCAGTCTGTCCGCGCTTCGCCTTTCCACGCGCCAGCCACCTGTCCAAGTAACATGCCGGTTGATTCTCAAGACATCCAACAGCGTTGTGGTCAAGAAGAACTGCATACCGAACGCAGACACTTGATCGATAGCTCTTCTGATTCTGCTCTATAAGATCCTTGTACTAAGTACTCCGCTATGAGTCCTTTTCAAGGAGGGGTTGAGAATAATCGGTCCTTCTCCGCGGAAATCAAAAAATCTCTTTGCTAAGACACTCTTCTCCTACACTTGTGCTGTCCCTGCTTTAAGGGTCACGAACACTGAGAGCAAGTCAGGGTAAACTGTGTATCAGACTGCTTAGGAAGTATGGTTGCGGCCATTCAGTGTTCGCTATTGTTGCTGTGTTCATGGTTGCAGATATATTCACAGAAGCCTAAAATGCAAAACCGTCAAAGCTTTGAGCCTTTTGACCCTAAATTCCAAACCGTTGAAATCCCAACAGAACCCTGATCTCATCCCTTGTTTGAACCCTTAGAGGAACGCTTTGTGAGGAACCCTTTAGTCGCGAACAGCAAGGTCTCTGCCAAGGTTGGATTCACACGCCGTGACAGGGAGGGCATCCTCATTTTCAAGGCGCCGGAATGCGGGCTTCAATAAGTAGAATGGCACCTTGGGGTACGTTATAGTGTGGATGTCCTGTTTTAGAGGGCTGAGGAGAACTGGACAATTGGCCTCGATAACTAGAGTAGGGTTGGGCGAAAGCCTGTACAAGCTCACATGGGGTGACAACACTAATACAATAATAACGTGTGCATCTTCAGAAATCTGGAGTCGAGATTAAGTCAACCTTTCCTACAGGTTACTACAGTTCACAAACAGAGAGAATAAGTTTAGAGATGAGATTATTATATGGTATAGTTTATCAGGGACTGTTAAGCATAGATCTTACTTAAGCATTCCGGCCATTCTAGCAAACCACGAAGCAACGCCTCTGCTTTTCGAGACCTTGATCTTAAAGCCGAGGCCGAGCTCCGAATTCCGAGTCCGAATGTGTCCCACCCAGATCTTTAACTCAAGTTCTAAAGACTTCCAATCATCCCCGAGAGCCCGGCTCATAAGTTCTAAAGGGCTTGGGATTCGGTGGAAGGTTCGGGATTCCCGGCTTCGGGATGCTGTGATATCTTGGCATCCAGCCTGGAACCCCGCACCCCAAAACCATCCAAACCCTGAAACTCACACACCGAAGCCCTAGGCCCCAAACCCTGAAATGTTCAACCCCCCTAAACCCCAAACCCCTAAACCCTAAACCCCTAAGCCCTAAACAGTGGGCATAGATCCTCAGCCATGCGAGAGGGAAAAAAAACCCCAAGCCCCCAAAACCGAATCACAACTGGGGCAGCTCCTGGAGGCCTTCTCGACGTTGTGCCTGGCGGCGTGGCTGCATGCTTTCGAGCCTCCGAAGCGGTACCGGAAGTTGGGGGATTTTGGGCTTAAGTTGAGGGCTTAGTCGTGTGTCTGCCGGCAGCAAGTCCAGCTTCAAAACCCTAAACCCCTGAACCCTAAACCCTAAACTACAGCTAAGTAGGAGGGAAAAAACCTTCAACCTTCAACCCTAGGGGCCAGTGTAGGCGAAGGGTTTGACCAACCATAATTGAGGGCATGTTATGACATGAACCGTATCAGGTAATATGCCCTATGGTTCGCGGTGTATTGTAATTCATCACATATGAGGGATCCTGCGATAGTTGATATTGTAAACCCTAAACGCCTAAACCCCTGGCCCCTAAACCCCCAAACCCAAACCCTAAACCCCCAAACCCCAAACGCATATCCCTTAATTTGAGGGATCTTGGAAGATCGGAGGGGTTAGGTAGGAAATTTTGGGGTTGAGATGGTCTGAGGCTCCCTGGAGTTGAGGTTCTAACGAGCTCAAGTTTAGGGTTTTTAGGGTTCTTAGGGTTCTTAGTTAGGGTTCTTAGGGTTTCTAGGGTTCTTAGGGTTTAAGGTTTAGGGTTTAGGCTCGCTACGGGTGCGATGTGCTGCGGGGGAACTTGGCCGGGCGAGCTCCAATCAAGCCTGTGTAGAAAAGGGGTTCCGAAATACAGAAAGTTTGCTAGACCCTTATTGAAGGTCCTGAAACGAAGGTTTAGCTAAACCCCAAATTGAGGGTTTTCAAAGCTTGCTGGAATCTTGTCCAGCATGCCCCATGTCCTTGGCAGCAGGCTCCTGGATCAGTTGTACTTTCGAGGGCCGTCCTGAGGATCATACTGACCCAACACATGGGAAGGCCGATGCAGAACTTCCAGAGCTTCCGCGTACAATACAGTTAGTCATGAGCACTAGTCACTAGTGATAAGCCGGAGAAGCGGATCTCACTTCTAACCATGCAGGTAGTTCTGGGGCCCTGTGGCGGGGGCACTGCATCTCAGAGCTTAGTAGTCAGATCTTCAGACACTCCTTTCATGCCCGCGCCGACCGACAGCCAACACGAATGGCTCTGGCAGTCGCTGGGCGCAGGCCAGTACCAGGTGGTCAGCAGCCTCGCGCCCTTCGACTTCGACTGGAAGTCCCTACATCCGATTTATGGCACGCCGCTCATGGCCATGCTTCACCACGCCATTCTCTTCCCTGGAGGGAAGGAGGAGGAACAGCGAGTCCACGACATGGCTCGCTACTGCATGCGGCAGGGGGCCGATCCTCGCATCGTGGCGCCCCGGGCAACGGGCCTGAGCGTGGGACTGCCACCCGCGCCTCCTGGGCCAAATTGGTTGGCCTATGATGACGCTGGCCATTGCTGGTGGCAGTATGACGGCCCCCTAGGCATCTTCTGGTGCGAGGACTGCCCCTGCTTACGGAAAGAAGGCTTTTCCCCTGAATTTTGCTTCTGTAGCTTCATGAGAGGGGCCAGTCCTGGGGAGCCGTCACAAAGTAAAACGGTGATGCCACGATGTTGCAAGCCTGTAGCTGAAAAGACTCACACCATTGAGATGCTTAGTAATCACCCCAGTCCAGGCCTCCCGTCAAGGTCCCAAGATCGCCTCATGATGATAGCACAGGACAGCCTGGAAATCACCAGACGTTCGAACTGCTAAGCAGCTTGAAGTCGAAAATGCCAGCCGGCATTGTGGCCAACATGTGCAGCGCACTGCGGTGAGAGTGCTATTTCTGAGGCGGAGAGCGATCGACGAGGTCAAATACCACAATGCTCATACGGAAACGTGCGAAACCACGAAACCACGAAATATGAAAGGCACTGGCGCGAGACAACGCCATTCTGGCTTTAGAAGCTCGGGATCTCCGCAGTACATTGCACGGTGGGGATTGGGCGGCCAAAATGCCCGTGCACTGTGGTGAGGGCGTAATGTCGCGGGGGGGAAACGCAAAGGACTGTGGCGGGAGCAGGCTACCCCACACCCGGTCACTAGCCTTACAAGAACCCATAAAGTCACCATGCTGTTGGGGTAGGTCACAGTCGCACAATGCCAGTAGCATTGACCTGATAGCCTGAGCAATGCGAGGACTCCAAGAAGGATGACTCTGACACCTACGCATGCCCTGGGGCGGAGCCTGCCATCAAGATCACGGCGGAGGTGGGAGAATGAAGCGGGAGGGATGAAGAGATGTTAAAAAAAACGGAAGACAACCGGGCAGGCATCCTAAGTATAAGCCGTTATAAGCCGTCAAGCTCTGATTAGGTGCTCACTTCTGAACCCAAGGAGCACTCCGGCCACTGTTGCATCACTCTGGCGCTGGCCATCAAGCGGAAGCTGGACTGTCCCCCTGCATCCAGTGTTTAGGGTTTGGGGAGTTTGCAAAAGGGTTTGGGGAGTTTAGGGCAACGGCACTTGAAGGGCGAACCGTTCTACCTAAGCTGTCATTGAATTTGTCCGCGCATGCCTTGTTGCTAAGTGCCCTGTCGAGGTTGGGGCTCGTACCGCAAGTACAGCGAGCGCATCGACCGCCTGATGTTGGTACTCACCGAGGTTGCGGGGAGGGTTGGTGGGTAGCAGCCAGTAGCTGCCTGAAGTGATAATTGTTTGCTGCTTCTGGCAGGGCTGTGGCTGTGACTTTATTGGCAGTGAAGATGTTGGGTTTTGAGCAGTGGCAGAAGGTGCAGTGGGACATTCCAGGGGAGGCTGTTGTCGGGATTCCTGTTGCAGTTTGGTCAAGACAATGCTCGCCTAAAGGAAGCTGTCTGAGCTTCTGAGTCCGTTTTCGCAACATGTTCGGTTTTGCACACACTTGTTCCGATTGAATTGCAGGCACAACTTGGATGCACATGTCAAAGTTTGTATTGCGATGGAGATGACTGCCTTTGCAGAGCTGCTGCTGCTGCTGCTGCTGCTGCTGCTGCTGCTGCCGTTCTTTGTTTCTTGTCTTTGAGAGCTGTCAACCTTCCAAAAGTGTTCCTGCTATTCCCCTGACCCTCAGCCCGACGGCTGTTTGCGAGAATGCAGTGTGCAACGAAGAGTCTGCAAGGAAGAATCCAGTGGAATGCGCTAGTGGCTTTGAGATGTTCGCTTGGCAATGCATGGCTTGCCTCATGCATGTGTCCTCTGCAAGTACTGCATGTCATGAGGGGAGGGCAACTCCACTAGGAAGAGAACCGCATTTCGCCACCAGGTTCACAGGCTTATCTCGAGGACCACCTAGGGTGTGGGGGTTCGGGGTATAGCTTGATTGTCTTCGAGAAGGGCTGCCATCATTCGGGCTTGATACTGGGTCGAGACTTGCGATTGTGCTTGAGTGACTAGCCCGCTTTGATAGCCTGGCTTGAGGGTGAACCTGCCTTTGGGCTGAACGTTTGTATGTCTGCAGACCTTGCCAGGATACGTTCGAGTGTGAGTGTCACTAACATGGGGCCTGAACCCCAAACAACCCTAAACCCTAAATTTTCAAGTCTTAACTGCCGAGAGCGCCGCTGACCATGTGCATGGGCGCTCGAGGCTCCCCGGCCGAGCGTCCCGTCAGAACAGTGAGGGAGGGTAAAGCCTCCCGGTATGCGAGGACTGTAGTGACTCCGCCCTGCTATTGACTTGTCCGCGGTCAAGGCAGTAAAGGTGGACCCCAAACCTTTCGCCATTGATGTCTTTTTGGTCTGTCCTGCTGGTCTGGGAGGTACCAGCAGGGGGGTCTGGGGCCCAGGCCCTGCCCTGCCCTGCCCTGCTTACCCTAAAGGGAAAAAAGCGCGATGGCATGACTTTAGGCTTCAACCCAAAAGGAATAGGTTTGGGTGGCTTTGCCGCCGTAGACGGCGGGCGTGGGTGGGAAAGAAAAAGGAGGGAGACAGGCTTTTGCAGGCTCGTCGCTATAGTACGATGCACTCGACACAATTTTCTCGCAAGACACTATCGCTTAAGCACCATTCCACGGCAAACCCTAAACCCGAAACCCCAAACCCTAAACCCTATTGCTGAGCTTTGGCTTCCCTTGCATGACGGAGTTGTGCGGTGCTGGTGCGCGTGTGAGAGTCGAAACCCTAAACCGCAGACCCTGCAATGCGGGCTCGTTCTAGCTAAGTGGGAGGGAAAAAACACCGCAGGCCATTAAGAGCCTGAAAGCCCTAAACCCTAAAAACCCAAAAAAACCCTAAACCCTAAAAAACCCTAAACCCTAAACCCTAAACAACCCTAAACCCTAAACCCTAAAAAACCCTAAACCCTAAAAATCCCTCAGCCCTAAACCCTTCAGAGCCTGGCCGGGACCCTCCGAAGCTTCCCAGACCTTCCCCTGCCGTGTGCAGGCCGACATCTGCCACTCCGCCCCTCAGCTCCGGTAGCGTTTTGAGGTTTCGGGCCGGCCTTGGGGTTTAGGGCCTTGGGGTTTTGCGGGTCTTGGGGTTTGGGGGTTTGGGGCTTGGGGCATGGGTTTTGGGGTTTGTTTTGGAGGGGTCTGGGGTTTAGGGCTTGTTTTGGGGGTTGGGGTTTGGGGTTTAGGAGTTTGGGGGTTTGGGGTTTCCCGTTGGACTCACGCCTTATGCAGCTGTGGCGGGAGACGCGGCCCCCAAGCTGTAGAAATGTGGCGCAAGCATCCCGACCCCATTGCACGCAAATGAACCCGATCCCTCAATCTTAAACTCTGATAGGAGAAGTGTTTGCCCTAAGCCCTCGACCCAGCCTCCTGAACTTGTCAACCATGTACTCTGAACCTGAACTAGTTCTATACCTTAAGAATACGAACCATACTCAAATTGCTGTTGATGCGCACTGTCTTATGCAGCTCGTTTGGCATGGCCGAGTATCGAGAACGATCAATTTGAGCCGAGAAGTGATCCAGCATCGCCAATTGGAAGCAACATGACAGCTCCGTCTCAATGGTACGGCACCCGAGGCGGTGAAGCAGGCAATGAAACCTAGACGAGACCCCAGGACTCAAGTCTATTGAGCCCTAAACTCCAAGCCTCACCTCCCCCAGGATGCTTGTGATCGTTATATATTTGTACTGTTGTCGGTGACAGTGGCGGTGAGCAGCAAATGTCTTTGCTGGCCAACTATCACCATTCCAATTCGTTTGCCCGTGGATGCATTTTTTGCCTATAAGTATCACAGAGTATGAACCCTAAACCCTAAACCCTAAGCCTAAACCGTAAGTGCTGCTGCCTAAACCCTGGCCCTACAGCCGACCTCGGTGTCGGAACCCTGACAGTGTGGGTCTTCAGGCGCACCTGATGCTCATGAACGAGGGGCTGGTCCGTGACATGGCGAAGGCAATGCAGGACCGGGCATGTTTTGGGAGTTCAGGGGGCCCAAAGGCCCCCAAGGCCCGAAACCCCCAAAGCCCAGACATGGAAACAGAACCTGGGGGCTTCGGACCGTGGGGCTCGGAGCCCTCTGTGTCAAGTGGGGGTCTCGGGTACAGAATCCTCGTCGTAGCGCCTCGGCTGACAGTCCCGGGGCATATTATGCTTTGCAACTAGAGAGGCTGCACAACGGACGACTCTACAATGTTGTTGTCTTGTTACGTGTCTGCCGCCGCACTGTTCTGTCGCATCTTTGTTCTTCAGTGCTTCCCAAAATCCCCTTAACCCCAAACCCTATATACCCTAAGCGCTAAACCGCAAACCACAAAACCCCAATGCCAGGACACCGAGCGCGCTGACGTGGAGCTCCGCCTCCCCGAGGGCGGCTCTGTGAGAGCCCACTCGCTGATCCTCTGCCGCCCGCACGAAGCCACGGCTTTGGGGTTAGGGTTGAGGGTTTGCTTAGGGTTTTTGGGGTTTCGGGTTTAGGAGGGTTTTGGGTTTGAGGATTTCGGGTTTGGAGTTTGGGGTTTCGGGTTTGGGTTACGGTAGAGTTGGGGTTGGGATTCAGGGTCTTCGACTTGGGTATACTTTGGGTTTCGTCCCACTAAGACGCCAGTGCATACATATCATACATGGCCAAATTGTAACATGTCCCCTAGGCCCTGAGCCCTTGTGAAACTGCTTCCTTTGCCGAGTCAGAGTGCAGAAATCCCAGAAACCCCTAAGTTTCCCAACCTCGGCCCCAAGGCCCCAAAACCCCCCAAACTAGCAATGAAATGCCATTGTCCCAATGGACCCGCACCCTTTTCATGAGTTGGAAAGCGCCCTTAAACACATGGATTTTAGCCAAGGGACACTTAAACCCTAAGCCGTAAACCCTGCTGCACCTCTTTCACCGCTTTCACCTAGGCAACGCCTCGCCGGTGTTGGACGCAGCGCTGCAGAGCAGCATGTGCGAGGGCCGCACGCAGGCGCCTTGGTCGGGACGCGACTCTGGGCTTGAGGTTTAGGGTTTAGGGTTCAGGGTTTAGGGTGTAGAGTTCAGGGTTTAGGGTGTCATACACTGCAAGTCCGTGCTTAAAAAGGGTGTGGGGTTTAGGGAGCTTTGGCGTCGAAGGTTTCAGGGTTTTGGGGTTTGGGGTTTAGGGTTCAGGGTTCAGCACCGAGGGGTTTAGGGTTCAGGGTTTTAAAGCAGGCAGAGGCCTAAAGTCTCTCCCCGATGCAGGGGCTTGGGGAAGACTTGGGTTAGCTTTTGCCTTGAGGGTTGAAGCTGTTGCGGGCTGAGCTAAGCAAGCGCGCATGCTCGTTCTTGAGCAGATTTGGGGGTCAATTTTGTTGGCGGTATGTGCGACACCTAACGCTGTTGACAGGCTCACTTGCCTGTCAGACCACGGCCGTGGTTCCTTCAGTACGATTTGGTGGCTGCCCCCGCAAACTCGTGTCAGCCTGACGACAGTAGTTTGCCCTTCTGCTACCAATGTTATGAGATGTTACGAGATGTTATGAGCACAGTTCTTGTGCAGTTTGAAATTCCAGTGGCTGTTATCTGGCCAGCCTTGTTGCCACCCGGAGCCGCCAGGTCATAAATGCTTTGGACATCTCAGAACCTGCGCTCAAGCACCTGCTCTCCCTGATCTACACCGGCTGCGCTTCGCGTGAGGCCACAGGGCGTGCTGCGTCCCGCAGCTGGAGAGTCCCAAAGCTATCAGCCCTCAGGCTTATTTAAAGGAGATGGGCCCCCAATACTCTGAAGTCTAAACTTGAAGGCCTCTAAGCTCGGAGCCCTAAACCCGTTCGGGGCGCGAAGTCGAGAGCCTGAATCCCCCAGTCCTACCCCCAAACCTGGACCCTGTGAGGACCTGCCCATGAAGATGCACCTGCAAGCCTTGGATCTTGCTCACAGATGGCAGGTCATCCCCGGCTCTCGGGTTCATTGGTAAGGATTCGAAGGGGGTAAGTAAGCCCACAAAACGTTGGGGGATTTTATTGCTTTGCTGACAATCTGAGCCCAGCGGCTTCGTAGTGCATGTCATTTCCTGCAATTTGATCCATGCACATTGGGTAATACAGGGGCTTGAACAAGTAACAAAACTAATCCGAAGGCACCTACCTACCTACCTGCCTGCCTGCCTACCTACCTACCTGCCTGCCTGCCCTTGCCTGCCTGCCTGCCTGCCTGCCTGCCTACCTACCTACCCACCTATGTATCTATCTATCTATCTATTTGTCTTCTAATCTAAGCTAAGCTAGGCCAAGATTATCTATCTACTTGTCTGTCTATCTATCTATCTATTAAGCACGAGTCGTGCTTGACAGTGGTAACGTTGGTGACTCAACCGTGGTAGGCCTCCCTGGGCTACGGACTGCAGCTGACGACCCCCAGTCAGAGAGTGAGAGGGAACGAGAGAGAGAGAGAGAGAGAGAGAGAGAGAGAGGGGTAGAAATTGGTAGGCCTATGTTTTTTCTTTGCTTCTCATGTCCTCTGATACAAAAATCGCCTGCACTTACACGTGCAAACCTGCCGGGGAATCGTCGTGTTTTGTTCATGTTAGAAATATTGAAACATCTCCACCGGCAGATCACAATGGGTGTCCCAAAGTAGCACTGTGTATCCAGATCGGGGAAATACAGAACTCTTCGATCTGCATGCAAACCTTTCACACCCCCTGAAAACCCCATGAAAATTCGGGGGCCTACTGGCCGGGGGGTCTAACCGACTCCCCATGCCCTGGAGAAGAAGAAGAAGAGAGAGGAGAGAGCCTTAAACCCTGAACGTTTTTGGACGATCTTGTGTTTTCCCCGCAGCTCGACCTAGTCAGCTAAGCGGTTTGGAAAACCGATGGAGCCCTGAACCGTACGCCCTGCAGAAGAAGAGTGTGTGGCAGGTGGACCGTGTCGTGGACGCTCTGGAGACAAAGCTGGTGAAGCAGGTGGCCACCTTGGTCCGACTTTGGAGAGTTAGGGACTTCGTTCAACCCGTCATATCTAGGACAGCCCTAAACCCTCACCCCTAAACCCAGACGGAGCCTTGCCGGCCTTGTGCGAGTGTGAAGGGCGAAGCCCTGTGGGTGAGATGACCGTTCTGCAGAGCGAACGGCCCAACTCTTAAAAGCAAACAGTTAGGCTGTGTGTGCTGTTGTATATTACCAACGGCTCTGCCCTCCTTGCTTAGTGTGCTGATCCCTCGAAGTCGGCTTGGGTATCGTCGAGGCTGTTGGCCCGCTGCGGCTACTGTGGACATCAGTGTCGTGACAATCGCGTCATCTTCTTTGTTATTTGCTACTGCTTCGGGCAGTCAGTGGTCGCAGTAATGAAGCACATTGAGACAAGCCATCGTCATCCTTTTCTCTCAGCTGCTGGGAATCGGGAGTGCCATGCCTTCTCGCGACCTTGCGGTGGATGCGGGGTTGCCGTGGCATCCGACAGCATGCGAGTGCAAATATTCTTTTCATACCGAGGTCGTCCAGGTCATGACCATTCAGCAGTATTCGTTGTGTTGCTGTTGCTTTGGGTGTTATCGTGATTAGTATTGGTGTTAGTCTTGGTACTAGTGTGTTGTCGTCGTCATCGTCGTCGAGAGTGGTGATTTTGTTGTTGCAGTTGCTGTTGCTGAACGGCAGGGGAGCTGTTGCTGCTGCCGCCATTGTGGTCATTCCGGTCGCTATTCTGCTGCTGCCCCCACTTGCGTCACCATGTCCCATCGGTTCCGAAGACCTTCTTAGAGTTCTTGCGGCAAGCCCTGAACCCCTCAAACCCCGACACCGTCAGGTCAGCGACGATGTCCCAAGCCTTAGCTTAGACCAGCGGATCCAGCTCCTGAACGACGTACTGGCAGCTTCGCCCGGTGGAGGCTTTCAGAGTTTTTGCAAGGGGGCTTGGGGGTCGGGGTCCTTGTGGTCTTCTGGACGGGTGTTCAGAACCGGCTTGGGGTCTCCATAAGGCTCTATCAGGCTTTGGGGTGTTGTGTGTTTGTGGGGCATGCTTCCTTTTTGGGCAAGCGAACTCAGCTGTCAGCAACCCTGACGGCCAAGGGGCCTTAACCAATTAGAATGTAGCTTTAAGTCAGTAGGGACCGATCCTAAATAATGGTTGTCTCCTTATCATGGCAACCTAAAAGTGCATTCCTTCACAAGAGCCCAAATCCTTCCGACTTCTAAACCCTAAACCCTAAACCCCTAAACCCCTAAACCCCTAAACCCTAACCCCTAAACCCTAAAACCCTAAACCCCTAAACCCTAAACCCCAAATCCTTCCGCCTTCTAAGCCAAGGAGTCGGCGGTTCTGAAGCAACTGCGCCGCTTGCATGGGGCCTGCCGCCTCGTGGCCACGTGGCCTCAAGTCCTGGGAGCTCCTCCCAAGGGAGAGTTGAGGGTTGAGGGTTGAGGGTTTAGGGGTTTAGGGGTTTAGGGTGGCTGGTTGCGGGAGTCCTGGATGCAAAAGGGTTCAGGGGTGTAGGGTGTAGGGTTTAGGGGTTGAGGGGTTTAGGGGTTTAGGGTTTGGGGTTTAGGGTTTCAGGGTTTAGGGGTTTGGGGGGTTTAGGGTATAGGGTTTAGGAGTTTAGGGTTTTGGGGTCCCTGGGCCGTGGCTCCCTCCTGATTGGATAGAGCTCCGGGTTTAAGAAAATAAATCGCTCAACGGGGAAAAAAAAAGGGGGTTTGGCATTCTTGGCATTTGGCATGACCTTTTTATCGCCTGAAGCAAGGCCGGCGGCAAACCAAAACTTCAGCCCAAACCTCCCTGCATCCTTTCCTGTATGCGTGAACGGCGAGAGAGCGAAGCAATGAAAGAATGAAAGACGGAAGGCAAGAAATGGGCCTGCACGTATATACTACATATGTGTCTACATCTGTATACATACACACATGTATATATATATATATACATATATATATACACATACATGCACATACCTGCATGTTTGTTTACGTGTGTATATGCATGTGTATGCTATGTATGTGCATTGGTTTTTGTGCCCGGATGCTTATACATACACGCGAACACACATATGCATGCATGTATGTGCAGACTGGCAGGCCGAGAGAGAGAGAGAGAGAGAGAACAGACAGACAGTCACGCACACCCACACACACATGTATATATATATATATACAAATAAATCAAAAAATACATACATACATACGTACGTACGTACGTACGTACGTACGTACGTACGTACGTACATACATACATACATACATACATACACACAACTCAAACTAATGCGCAGGGACTTTTTCGGCTTTGAGAAGCCCTGAGCTTTTAAGGCCTAGGCCTAAGCACTAAACCACGAACCCTGGCCCCAAACTCCAAGCCAAAAACCTCACGTCGAACCCAAAATCCCTTTGCCGCAAAGCCCGAATCCCTAAAAAGGAGGGTAAATGAATGTATAACCACAACCCTACAAGAAGCCTGGTTCTTGTTCAGGACTAAGCTTAAGTTACCAAAATGGGGATCTACCGAAAATCATATGGTTTCCCTATTATGGCAACCTGAACTAAATTCCTTAAACAAGAAGCCAGTAAATCTGAAAGATTTCAAGCCTTAAACCTTATTCTGCCAAAGTGAGCTCGAAACGGCCACTTCAACTTAAACCCCATGAGCCTTAAACCCGCAATCCCTAAATCTAAACCCTAGATTCCTAAGTTCCTATTTTAGAGACCGGCCATGCGGGCATGCCGTTGCCAAGTAGGAGGTAGAAAACCCCTAGACCCTACTCTCTAAACCCTAACCCCTACTCAGAAGGAACCCCGAAGCCGAGGTTAGCCGAGACCCGCGGTTGATGGAGGCCGTGGAGCGCGGTGCCTTCGGCCGGGTGGCGGCCAAGGCCTCGCCTTCGGGCATTGCTTGCGGCACTTAGCTTTTAGGAGGCTTAGAGGTGTAGGGTTTTAGGGATGTTCAGGCTTCGAGGATTTAGGGTTAGCGTTTGGGGTTTAGGGATCGAGGGTCGTGTTCTGGCAGCCAGCAAGGCCAGGTTTGGGCTTAAATTGCAGAGCTTGTGCTGCTGAAACCCTGACCGCCCTAACCCTCAACCCCTAACCTGTCAACTTCGAAGGACCTGCGGAACGACGAGGAGCCACGAAAGAAGCGCCGCCGCGCGCTGGAAGTGAGCTGAAGTGCAAGTCACCTTGGTTTCGGGGTCTAGGAACCCCATAAATTCCATTAATAAACATATTACATATTTCAGAAATTTCAGGGATTCCTGACGGAAGCAAGGCTTATGGGTGGCACGGGCCCCTTACAGGTACTTGTGACCTGACTTGTCACCGACATACTAAGTCGCAGTGGGGTTCGGCTTTGGACAGCTGCATAAATAGAGGTACCTGATTAGGAAACCTGGGTCTTCATTATTAGGGCTGTTTAAATATTTCTCACCGTAGGCTCCGTTTAAAGAGCCCTAGTTACCTTGCTTACCTTAATAAACCCTAAACCCCTGAGCCCCAAGCCGGCCCTAAACCCTGAACCCTATGTCCCACACCTTACACCCTTAACCCTAGGGTTGAGTACAGAACTGTCATGCCCTCTGTTCCGTACCCAACCCTGCAATGCCAAGTGGGAGGGACAAAACCCTAAATCCCACCATCCATGCCATCCACCTCGAGCCGAAAACCGAATCCGGAAGCCCGGAAGCCTAGGGCCCAGAGCTCAGCTCCGGTTCAGGGTTTAGGGCTTAGGGTTTTTGGGTTTAAGGCTTAGGGTTTAGGGGTTAGGGTTTTTGGGTTTAGGGCTTAGGGTTTAAGGGTTAGGGTTTTTGGGTTTAGGGCTTAGGGTTTTTGGGTTTAGGATACCCTGCACTTTCGTTTCGGCATGGTGAATTACGATCAGTCTGTGGGATTTCTAGGGCCATGTGCGGAGTTTTGCAGCCTGTGGGATGGGACGCTGTAGCAAGATTCGAAGTCAGGCTACAAGTGGAAGAACCCGCTTGGGGTACTGCTATTTGTGGCTTTGTCTTCTTCCGCAGCTGGTACCCTGGGCCCTATGCCATAACCTCAGCACCCTTGCCTTCTTCTTATTCTATTGTTGTTAGGCTTAGCATGTCTATAACTACTTGCGTTTCGGCCTGTGTTTCACCTTGTCGCCTTGGCCTGAGACTCAAGGCAGCAGGAAAGTCGATGGGTCGGCCCGGGATGACCCCAATCACAATGAGTAGCAATACAGGGTTTAGAGATTACGGTGCCGAGCTTGTTTCCGAGGGCCTCTGGTGATAGGGATCCTCCTAGCTAGGATTTCCCTTAGTCTCTGAAGCTCCCACCTTTCGACTAGCGGATGTACGACTTCTACTACTACGACTTAATACTGCCGTAGGATATGGTTGCTGCAGTGATTGTTCATTGCTACCATGTCCTTGAGTTCCACGACCCTGGGATGCCTTCACTCAGCGGGTTCTGTAGGATCACCCCGACCACACCGCATTGAAAAGTCTTTTCCGACGAATACATCCCGAGCCTCAAATGAGAACAGCATGGCTTCTGTGGTGTGGCAAAGCAAGACCTCCAAGACCTCTCAAGCCTTCCTGAGCCGTCGTGCGCTCAAGTCATGAAAATTTGTCTCCATGCCTGCAAGATTTACCGCAGAGCTTTGCTAAAGGCTTGGGGTTTAGAGTTTGGGATAGGATATGGATGCTTCTGAACATGACGATCCTTAGCATAGATGCTAGAATGGGCTAGGGCCCGGGCTTCTGAAAGCGGCTTCAGAAACCCATAAACAAATAAGTAAACAAGATAACAATAAAAGACATACACATACATGTAGCTAAAGAACAGCAAAAACAGCAACGTGCATATAATCACAACTACAAGCACAAATATACGACAAATGAAAATATAACGCTATATAATTAGATAAATACGTGAATTAATAGGTAATAGTAAGAAATCAACAAATACATAAACAAGCAAATGCACACACACACACACACACATATATATATGTATGTATATTCATTCATTCATGTATATATATATATACACATGCAAATGCATAACATGTATGTATGTATAACATGTATGTATGTATGTATGTACGTACGTATGTATGTATGTATGTATGTATGTAGGTATGTATATATATATATATATATGCATGTATGTATAGATACATGCATACGTATGTATGTATGTATGTATGTATGCATCTATGCATGTATGTATAGATACATGCATACGTATGTATGTATGTATGTATGTACAGAGATAGATAGTTCCAGACCACGAACCCATGCAAGGACGTTTTGTAGCAGCCGGGTTCACCTAAGCCGAGCATTTAGTATGTGTACGAACACATACACATACATTTGCATATACAAACGCATGTGCAAAAATGTGCATTCACTCAGATGTTGGCATCGTCCGAAAGCCCTTGACCTCTAAACACCAAAGGTAAGCTTCCTCTTCAATGTGGCGATCACCATTTTTCCGGAAAGTAGCCGCGGCCTCAGAGTGCCGACGCTCCGGGATGGCTTTTTGGGTTTAGGGGTTTGTCGCAATAGGCCTGGATGCAGGATTCCCCCGAGGGCTTTGAATGCTGTCAATTTTCTTGGCACAGAGTGTGCTTCGACCGCTTGTTTTCTTTCCACAGTTGTCACCACATCACAACATATTGTTTCTACTAATACTACTATTATGGACATTATCCTAGTGTTGTCATTGTAGTCACTGTTGTGACGGTAATTCTGATTGTTTCTGTAGTTTTGCACTGTTATCATCGGAGTGGTTGCTAGTAGCTATGTTGTCGGACTGAGAATTTTTGCACTGTGGTTATAGATCCCTTTGATGAAGGGTTACCGCTGTCCCTGGTGTTCAATCTGCACAGGGACCGAAGTTTCAGTAGCTCTTGGGATACGACTTAATATTGGAATTTGTATTCGTATCTGTATTCAAACTCTCCTTATCAACTTTGCAGAATTGCTGGTTTCTCACCTCCGACGCCCTGCAGCCACAGATTGCAGGATTGGTTCGCTTCCCTGGAAACTGTAAACATAAAAGACCGCGCGCGAGAGAGAGCGTGTGTGTGTGTGTGTGTGTTTGCAGCCCCACAACAAAATCGGACTAAGCCTTAGACCCTAACTCAAAACGGCCCCAACCTTGTCTCGGTTTCCGCAAAAAAGGCGCACACCCTCTCCGCTTCCTGCTGCAGCCCTTGGGTGAGGGCCGCGCGATCACCTCGATGCAGGCCTTGCTGCGTCGGTTTCTTTTTGGATTTCTATGGAGTTGACGGCTTGGTGTTAAGGGTTTGGGTTTGGGGTTGAGGGTTTCTTTGATAAGTAAAGCCCTTGAACGTTTATGTTATTGCGGGGGTTCATGGTTTCCTCTGCTACGGTTCAGCAGCTCGTGGTCTAAGCACTTGGGATTTGCGGAGCGCGACACAACGAGTGCTTGAAAGCCCCGGCCCATCGTGACATTCGCGGACGACGGAGACTTTTTCCGACGTCGCCAGCCCATGGCCAAAGGGGAACCCAGACCCTAATGTAGGGGGCCTTAATAATTCGAACAGGGTTTTGGGGGTTCCTTTTTATAACTTTAGTATGCTATACCCCAAAGCCCTCGTCTAACTATTACGGCCCCTATCTAAAACCCTGAAGTCCTGAAGCCCTACAGCCGGATGGCGGGTTGGTGCCAAAAGCCCAAAGTTCAATTGGGGCTCGCGACCGAAGTTTGCCATACACCTTTATCCACACGGGATCCTATATTTCGAGGGTTCGAGGCGAAGTTTATGGTGCATTTCTTAATTCTTTTCGATTCTTGGAGACTCCAAGGGGTGCAGGAGGGAGAGCCCAGATGCCGTGAGACATGCCGATGGTTGCGAAAGCTCCCCAAAGCCCCCATAAAAGAGACATGCAGTCTCTTGCCAAACGACAGAAAGTCCCACGAAGCACAAGATAAAACCCTATAAAACCCGATAGAAGCTTCCAAGACCCCGTAAAATCTGCCTTCTGGCAGGACATCTCCTTCCAGGTGCGGGCTTCCGTGCATTTGTTCCATGCCGTGGCCCCGGAAACGGCTGCGGGCCAGATCTTCCTCACACATCCCGAGGCAATAATTCAGGCGCCTTCATAATGAGATAATATGCCTTGAGAGGGCTCGTTAAAGGTGTAAGGGTTACTGTAAGGGTTCCAAAATATAAAAGCCGCAGTAGTTAGAATAGGGTTTGGGGGGTATGCTGTGGCGTAGGTATGTAGGGAACAGAAGTGAAATGAGGACCCTGTGCGATTCCATAGCTTCTCCGACAGTACCAAGGCTATCGCGCTTAGCGGAACTTGCTTCCGGCTACTGTGTTTGGAGAGTTGTATCCTGCAAAGCCTTTTAACCTCGATTATACATCGTTTCGTGATCGTAAGTTCATCAGGGTTTAGGGTTCAGGGTTTTGGTTTGGAGACTTTTTCAGTAGAGCCATTGCACAGTATGTTGTACAAAGAGGCACAAGCGCTGTAGATACCAGTGTTTTGAGCATGGACGCAATGTGAATATGACGTTCTTATCTCCCCCACCCAAACAGGAAAATCAACCCAAAATTGTGGCTTAAACGGAGTGCACGTTACGGGCGCTGTCACCTTAAACCTACACCCTAAAGCTAAATACCCAACACCAAGATTTAGGGGTCGCCCTGAACCCGAACCCTAAACCCTAAAAGACAACAAAAAGTTTAGGGCCCTAGAAATCCAGATTTAGGTGTTGGTTCCCGGCAGCCTCTTCATCGGCTACCTGCTTTTCCCTCTGCAAGGGTTCGTCTGGCAGCTGACTCAGCAATGCCTTTTGGTTTTCGGCGGTTCAGGGTTTCGGGTTTAGGGTTCCTTCTCGGCTCTTATCTTGGAGTATAGAGTTCAGTGCGTAGCATCAGTCGTAGATGTTTCGTCTGGAATGTTTGCAAGCATGCCACGGTCAGGAATCTGCTGAGGGTTTGCTGCAGAGGGTTTCACTTTTTCGTGTAAGTGATTTAGGGAGATGGTCGGGATGGTTCAGGGTTCAGCATCGAATATCGAAGGATTTACGCATTTGACATGACTCCAGCACGTACGGCCTTCAACCAGTATTTCCCACCCCACGCTCACCCTAAGCCGTACTGTAGGCCCTAGCCGCACTTTCCAAGTCTTTGCACACGGGCAGTGGGTTGGGGGAG